ACCGCAATTTACTCACATCTATTTTAAAAAATCAATACATTCAAATATATCAGTTTGGATTTAGATATTTTTCTGTACTAGTGAGTTTGTCTGCTCCTGTACTCTTTTTTTGGCACACGTGCAGAAAAAGGAAAAGATTATATCAAGGTGAAATAGAAAGCACAGAGCAATAATCAAGACATTTACTCTACACTTAAGCTTTACACAATATTTAAGTCTGGTGAACTTGTCCTTCAACATACATCAACAAAAAAACATGAAGGTTGCTGACCTTGGACAATGAAAGTACAGATCTGTAGTAATTCAACAAGCCTTCTTGGGTTCATCAACAGGAGTGGAATGTTTCCTCCTGCCTCGCTCTTCATCTTCATGTCATCTCTAACTCCAGCAGATAGTGTCTCAGACAAAGAGAACAACTCATCCTGCATCGAGGGAAAACATGCAATATAGTTTTACAGTGTACTTATATTTTTTTATAGTCATATCCACAACAACAACAAACACAAAATCAGGCCTGTACTATCCCACACAATTGGTGACAGTAGAATGCCTGCAAAAATACATTTAATGTTCTGGCAGAGACAGAAAAATAGATATTGGGGGAAATTGCACTTGAATTGTTTTAAAGAAAGTTTGTCGCTTGTCACTTGATAGTATTTAATGTCATTTAGAGTCATTTGTCTTATAAATAACAAAGAAGGGTCATGAGAGAAGATGAAGGAGATAACACTGCCTGAACATGACGAGTAAAATATCTTTTTAATCTATAATGTAACCTTCTGGTTGGTTACATAACAAACAAACCATGGTGGAGTTCACAAACCACTGTTTTAGGAGGACTCTTGGTTTGGTCCACACTACAGGCTAAATAACAGCCATCTAATTAGCCTAAACAAACTAGATGCAACATAGTTACTTTTAAAATATGGTGGAGCACACAAACAGGATTACCTGGAATCCCTGAATAGTTTTCAGCTGGCAAGTGGCAAGCCATATTGCCCACTGCAGACAGAGAAGGTAAAGTACACAGGAATTCAAAGCTGTGCTTTCCACTGATTTGAGAAGTGTTCTCCAAAACACAGGATGGTCTGAAGCAACAGGGTCATGTCCTGTCACCTGTAGAACTGCAGGGAACAAGAGCAAGCAGTAAAAGTCAGAGTGGAGCAAACATTCAAACTGGACGTATGGCATCTTCATCTACATCTATGGTTTTCTCATAATTTCCCAGTGTAGGCATACCTCTCTCTGTGGCTTGTGTGAGGAGCAGCTCAGCTTCTGAGAACTGCGACTGAGCTGCAGAGGACACACAGGCATTGTATACCACTGTCAGCTCCAACTGTGTGTGGTCTGCAAGAGGAGGGATACCTGCAGGAGAAGGACATTGGGAAAGGAAAGCAGGGACACAGAAGATGCATAAAAGGTAATAACTGAGCTCTTCGCCTTAATGTATAAAGCCTTTGTATTATGAAGGAGATGGAGCACCTTGAATTTTCCTTAAAAGTTTGTGAAACTCTGAGGAACACGCTCTCAGATGGGTCAGGATCTGGTCTCTGTCCAAGGCATCTCCTCCTCCTTCTTGATGCTGAAACAGTGTAGTGAAAGCAAACAGGAAAGTACTTAAGTACTGGACTTTTACATTACAATTTATACTATTTCACATTGCTAAAATATGGATATATGGTACTTTTTAAACTACAGCATTTATTAGATATAGTTTAGTATAAGTTGCCTCTTGAAAAAAATTACAAACAAAACAATCAGTTAAAATAAGCTAGTTACTGCATTAAAATGCTGCTTACATGTCAATGCATCTGTAATAATAATCCAGTATAATACCAAGTTGAGGAGCCATTCTGCATAATGTTTAACGTAACTTTTACTTTTAATATTTGAAGTACATTTTTCTGTCAGTACTTCTGTATTTAAGTTAAGTAAAACAGGACTTTTTTATAGTGTGGTATTGCCATATTTAACGTTACTAAAGAAAGATTAAAAGATGTGAATGCTTGTTCGACCTCTAATAAGATAATATTCTGCAGGATGTCATTAGATTCCAAAAGTATACATTTAACATTAACAAGGAATCAGTATCTCTTGACCAATTCATAAGCATAAACATATTTATATAATGTTAAGTTACCGTTATTGCATTTCATGATGATGTAAGTTCAGATGCAAACATAAACCGCTGAAAAGAGTAACGTTAGACACACAACAGCTAACTACTTACCTTCCATTTGTTTACTAACTCGTTGTTTTCCTGGATCCATCTATCTGATAAAGAAAGTGGGTGAGACATTTTATTAGACATTACATAGCTGCTTAGGGAAAAAGGTTTTTTGTTTGAACTTTCCCTCGTTTGTCGAAGTAAAGCTACCACCGGAAGTAAACATTAGTGAGTTTATTGCAGTGGCGCTGTGCTGCCCCCTGTGGCCAAATCAGGGAATGACAACGGCAGTCTGCTAACTGTCCAGCAGGTGGTGCTGTGACCGAGCCAATTTTAGTTTTGTTCTAGAAACTTCAATCTGTGTTATTATATTGAGCACACACACACACAGCCATCAAACTGGGAAGTGCTACTGCTGTGTGTTTTTTGGTCATTAGCTTTATAACGTTAATATGCTCAGTTGGACTCTGCGTGTCGGCTGTCCTTTCACAAAAATCTGCACTGGCCAGCCACAGTGGCAAGCTACCGCAATCACATGCACACATACATGTAGGTCCACAGCAAATAAACTGCACTCCAGGGCCTTAAATATAATACAGCTGAGTCATCTTTAAGACTGACAGAACAGCCATGTTTCTTGTTGTCCCTCCCAAGGTGACTCCCTCTTTTTTCACCCAGTTCCACTCCTCTCACCCCTCTTTCTGTGTGTCTCTGTCATCCCTCCATCGTGTTTCCTGTTGTCTGCAACCTCCATTGTCTGCCTTCATCACAGCTCCTCTTTTCTTTCACTGGCTCAAATCACAGAAAGCTCTAAATATACCAGCACAGAAAAACAAGGGAAGCTCCTGACAACCACTGCTCCACAATATAATAATTTGCTCACTTGCAGGTGCATAGGCATACACAAACACAAAAGATATCTTTCATTTTGATTCCGCATGTCTTTTCTTCCCTTAGGATGGGTTTCACTTTTTTGTGACATTTTCCTCTGCATCGATCTTGAAATGTTCCATCTCGCTCTGTCTCTCTTCACTCTCCATCCATCCATCCGTTCAAGGACAAGGGCATTACATGGCAAGAGCCTCCCACCTCCTTTTCTGCTGTCCCTTTCCCAATGTCATTCACATGGCAAGAACTTTCATTAAAAGGTTTGTACAAAATTGTTACTGCGACAAATCCACCCATGGCAGCACGAAAGCGCAGATTATAGAGAAACCAATAGCATCGTAAATTTGCCTGTTCTGTTTAATCTCCTCTACGGTAGTCTTGCAGTTTGTGACAGGGGACCATTCATCATTTGGAGGTCTTATTATGTCTCAAATCTCAATTAAAAATAATTAAAAATGTCTAGCAATAGTTGCAGGTGAATTGGATTTAATAGCTTCACACGGACCATCGCCAGTGATAAACCCCCAAAATCGCATAGAAATTCAAACACAGAATGAACAATTGTGAGTTTTTTTCTGTAGGCTTCAGTTGCATGCAGTTCAAGTAACAAGACATTGAGGAATATGAGCTATATTGAACACGAGATCCTCATAGAAACTGGATTCTGCCTATTCTGCTCCGTTATCCTCATTTATAAAACATAAAGGTAGGAAGGAAGGGATGTGACGCATGCAATTTCTGTCCGACGTGCCCCTCAGCCCCCAAAACATGTGAGATATGGTGCATACGTTCAAACATTACAAAACACACATTTGTGAAAACAGATGATTAAACTGTAATGGTGTTCCACCTTTGAAGATTTAAAGACATGACACAATTGCTGGAGGACTGGTTAAGGGTTTGTCTCAGAGTCCCCTGGGTGCCATTGGGCTGACAACACACATGTTCACAGGGTCGAAGAATGGCTGAAACAGAGAAATGAGTGTGTGCTGAGCCGCCTGTTCTTCATCTCAGGGGAAAGGCATATCCACAATTCTCCCTGCTCCTTTAAGGTATGTGGGGTAAACTCACTCACCCTGAGTTTGAATAATCAATAGGTGCTGTACATGCTCTTCAGAACTGGTCCTCTTCTCACAGCAGACATAGGCTACCTTTGATCAGCAGCGACAGCTCCGTTTATTTTTGTATGAATGCTGTTTCATGGTAGCTCAGGATCCTGATGTGCCTGCACAATAAAGTTTTGTTGTTTTTTTGCCTGTCACTCGTCATGCTTGTCCTGCAACCACCTCTGCACATCCGAAGATCACTTACTCTTTGTCAACAAAAGGAAGCAGAAACGAAAAAAGATAAAAATTTGCATTTGAAATATAAGGGTAGAAATAAATCGTTTCTGTGTGTGTGTGTGTGTGTGTGTGGTGTGTGTGTGTGTGTGTGTGTGTGTGTGTGTGGTAAGAGAGGGAGAAGAGAGAGCTAGTCTGTCAATGGCCCAGCAGTTGAGTTGAGTCCCAGGGGGTTGGCATGGATCTGCAAACTCACACTGCAGCAGTACAGCTACAGAGAGCATCAGCAGAACACACAGCACACCCACACAATCAGTTTGCAAAGACTTTTTCCAGAGCATACCTCAAAAATATGAATATGTCTTGATATTTTTAAAATTGTAAAATTAATCATTTAACAAGGCGGTGTATAAAGCCCATAGCAACTGATAGTTAATAAGCCAAAATACTCATGTCCTTATTATTTAATACATAGGGTAGTTTTACAGGTGTTTTATACAGAAATCACTTTAAGATAGAAAATAAAAGGTGATGCTTTAAAAACATTTTACACGCTATGAAACCAATATTTCGTTTTGTTGCTTCATTAAAATACACATCATTAACACCTCCACTAAAATAAAAATCATCAACAAGGTGCTACACTGATCAGCGTGAATAGGCTATATCCTGCACAGGCAGGAGTTTTCTAAAGAGAAGATATCTCTTTAAATAGAGTGTCCTGGTGCTGACTAGTGAGTTTTCCTTCCCTCCTATATAAGCCCAGCGATCCCCTCCTGCTGCAGTCACTTCTCCTCCGGCCACCATGAGTTTCACGGTAGAGCACCACTTGTTCGGTCCAACCTCGTACCGCAAGGCTCGGCCTGCCTCCGTGTCCTCCAGCGGCTTTCACTCCCAGCGCCGCCGCCTCACCTACAGCCAGCCGTCCTCCGTCGACAGCTTTGAGACCTTCAACGGTGACATGACGCGGAGGAGCGAGAAGGAGATACTTCAGGCTCTGAACGACCGGTTCGCCGGCTACATCGACAAGGTGCGGAACCTGGAGATGCACAACCACAACTTGGAGGCGGAAGCGGCAGCTCTGCGGCAGAGCCAGGCCGGTCGCGCTTCGGTCGGGGAGCACTACGAGCGAGAGCTGGGCGACCTGAGGGGTCTCCTGCAGCAGCTGACCGGGGAGAAGGCCCGCGCCGCTCTTGAGCACGACCACCTGGAGGAGGACATCCAGCACCTGCGGGTCAGGCTGGAGGATGAGGCGCGAAACCGGGAGGAGTTGGAGGCTGCCGCGCGCGCCATGAAAAAGTATGCTGAGGAGTGCCGTCTGACGCGGCTGGAGCTGGAAAAGAAGCTCCGTTCGCTGGAAGAGGAGGACGCATTCCTGAAGAAGAACCACGAGGAAGAAGTGGCGGAGCTCCTCGCGCAGATACAGGGCTCGCAGGTGAGCTTCGATATGCGAGACACGCTCAAGGCGGACGTCACCGGCGCACTGCGAGAGATCCGCTCGCAGCTGGACATTCACGCATCCAAGAGCTCAACGCATGCTGAGGAATGGTTCAAAGGTAAGTTGGGTCGAAAGGGAAAAGTTTTAAAACTCATTTAGTGTACAGAAACCGAGAAACCTCGTCGTGCGCTTTTCAGCGTTCAAGGTAGTGTTCTCTGTCCATGGTGCTGAAGTCTAAAGGCACATCCCTGAGATTTCCACGTTAAAATTATAGGCTGTAGCCCAGACCTCTACATCTTTGCAGATGGTAGTGTTGAGACATTCATCACATTCCCACCCACCCGCCAGATCGCAAACTTTTACAAAAGAGACTGAGGAAGTTTAATTACCGGTTACAGACAAATTAAGTAAACCAAGATAATCTAAATAGAACATGCTGAAAGATTCAAATTTAAATAATATTATCTTCAGTTCCGCGTTTCTGTGGGTACATATTTGTAGCAGAATGATAATTTTTACTTAAATCAAGCACTGCAGGGGTGAGATGGCGCACTGAGAGAAGGCTATGACTAATTTGCACTCTCACTCTGGGTAACAGTGGGTGCGTGCTGGGTGTGCCTCCAACCCTGAACCCGAACCTCTGCAAATAGGATCGCCGCTTCAAGGTCACTGTTCGCGGTAGGCAGACAGGACAGATGGGTGCTTCATCACTTGGCTCGTGCTCTAACAGTCATCCTTTCTGATGTCTTGACTGGAGTTAACCATGGACGTGGAAGTGAGCCACACATGTAGATATGATGCACAGACTTACTGACGCACGGCAGTAACCGAGACACCATCTTCTTGTAGCCCCTGTGAGAATCCTCCTCACGATTTTACTGCAAGAAGACGCGAGATTGGATGCACACAGTGCTGCTGATCTTTGTGGTAGGCTACAATACAAATACGAAATTGACAACTTTAAAGGCCAGGAAAGGGTTTATCTGGACAGCAACTGCACGCCACAGAATATTAATGATCTCAAGATTTACCTACACTGTACATCTACATGCTGATTTGATAAAACCAGTATATAAAAAAAAAAGTTCCTACAGAATGACCTTCCCTGTGTCTTGTCCAGCTGACTTCAGCACTGTGGCTCCTTCATGCTTGGAAGAGGGAGGTAGCTGAGTCAGACTGACTGACAGATGGACACTGTCAAGGTTACTCAGGCTCCCAATGGTGGCTGTCTGCTCTCTGAGGCCTTGTGGCCAGAGGACAGGTCAAATGTCTCAGGGAAAAGATAAAACAAGAATGCATGCATATAGACTGTATCAGAGTGTTCTCTGTAGTTGTAGGTTGTTGTATATGGAGGTCACATCAGACTGTTTTGGGACAATGGCCAGTCAATGGTGTGATTTCTAAACCGTGCACATTCTTTGGTGTGTCATTCCTGCAGTGCGTATGGAGCATCTGTCTGATGCTGCCAGGTCAAACCAGGATGCAATTCGTGGGACCCAGGAGGAGATCGCCGATTACCGCCGTCAGCTCCAGAGCCGTACTATTGAGCTGGAGACTCTTAGAGGAACCAAGGAGTCACTGGAGAGGCAGTGTATGGAGTGTGAAGACAGACACCACAATGACCTCAACTCACTACAGGCAGGGAATCAACACAAATATCTCACTTGTCTCTCATGGAGAAAACAAGAAATGCACATTCATGATTGCACATATCCTATTGACCTGTAAGGCTACGTGTTTTCATTTTGCAGGAGACCATCAATCAGCTGGACAATGAGCTGAAAAACACCAAATGGGAGATGGCCACCCAGCTGAGAGACTATCAGGAGCTGCTGAATGTGAAGATGGCTCTAGATATCGAGATTGCTGCTTATAGGTTGGTCAGGGTTTAAAACCACACATTAACTTCTTCATTCTTAATGTGAAACATTATAGATGTTTTCACTGACTGTGTCTTTGTCTTTAAAAAGGAAATTACTGGAGGGAGAGGAGAATCGCTTTGTATCAGGAGGAAGTCCGTACTCCTACCTGGAAGGCAGATTCTCTGCCCACTTCAAAGTGAAAGGAGAGGAGATCTCAGACACTGTCATCGTGGAGGAACAGACAGATGAAACCCAGGTGACAGAGGTGACAGAGGAGGCCGATGAAGAGGAAGAGGAGGGAAAGAAAGAAGAAGAGGCAGGAGAGGAGGAAGAGGAAACCAAAGAGGAAGAGGGAGAGGGTGAGGAAGTAGAAGACAAGGAGGAGGAAGGAGAGGGTGAAGAAGAGAAGGAGGAAGAAAAGGGAGAAGGGGAGAAGGATGAGGAGGGTGATGAGAAGGGAGAGGATGAGGAGGCAGGTGAGGAAGAAGAGAAGTCCAAATCTCCAGAAAAGGCTGCATCCCCTGCTTCAAAATCTCCTCAACCTAAATCCCCTGCTGTCAAATCACCAGAATCTAAATCTCCACAAAAATCACCAGAATCTAAATCTCCACCAGCCAAATCCCCAATGCCCAAATCACCTGCCAAGTCACCTGCAGTCAAATCCCCTGCAGGAGATGAGTCAAAGTCACCTGCCCCAAAGTCACCAGTGTCTAAATCCCCACAGAGCAAATCCCCTGAATCAAAATCTCCTCCTCCCATGACCCCTGAACCAAAGTCTCCAGAAAAGGAGAAGGCCAAGCCTGCTGCTGCCAAAGACACCCCTAAAGAGGAGAAAAAAGAGGAGAAGCCTCAGCCAGTCAAGGAGGAAAAGGAGAAAGAGCAACCTGTGAAGGAGGAGAAGAAGCAAGAGTCTAAGGAGAAAGAGCCAGAGAAGGCAGATAAACCTGATACAAAGAAAGACACCAAGACAGATGACACTTCCAAACCTGCTGCACCTAGCAAGCCCGCAGAGGACAAACCTGCCTCCAAAACTAAAGAGAGTGCTCCCCCTGCCAAGGAGGAGAAACCCTCTGCTCCTAAACCAGAGAAGGCCGAGCCTGAGGCAAAGCCTGCCCCTAAACCACAGCCTGAGAAAACAGAGGGCAAGAAGGAGGAGAAGAAGCCAGAGGAGAAGTCCGCACCTAAAGCTGAACCCGAGAAAACAGACAGTAAGAAAGAGGAGAAGAAGCCAGAGGAGAAGTCCGCACCTAAAGCTGAACCCGAGAAAACAGACAGTAAGAAAGAGGAGAAGAAGCCAGAGAAAAAGGAGAGCAGTAAAGAAGAGAGTAAGGAAGTGAGGGAAGAAGGGAAGACAGAAAAAGCAGAGAAATCTTCTGGCACTGAGTCAAAGGAGAGCAAGGAGGAGAAGGCCAAGAAGTAAGACTGGATACACTGTGTTTCAGGGCATGAGGATAGGAAGAGGATGAGATGCCAAAGAACTATGAGGGAGTAAAGAGCAGGAGAGAGGGGCTGGGTGTGCCCAGCTGTCCAAAGCAAAGCAGGTGATAGTATGTAAGCAATAGTGATTTCTGTAGCAAATAATCCCCTGCTCCTTAAGTATGGCCATTACACCCCCCACCCCCCAGCCCCATGCTTCTGATGTATGACTGTAGTGAATGCAGAATGCTCTAAACTCTTTATCTGAATGTGACAACTGCCCTTAATAAATAACAAGTGCATTTAAACTCAATCCCGCTGACGGGGGCCGCAGAGGCCTGCTGTACCTACACAAGCCTTCAAGGGTAGTGATGTCAAAACAATGTCAAGCTAAAGATTGTGACAGCTATTGAATATAAAAATGTATATTTAAGCAGATACAAACATCTATTATATTTACAAATAGATGAGTAAGAAAGATTTGACTTGAATTTTGCTTGTTGTGCACCTTAATGCAGCTTCTCCTGACCGGTGAACTGCAGTGTCTCACTCTTCTGGTCTGCAATGCTAGGACAACCATGACTGTGCTATGTATAAACTGCTGAGAATATGCAATATAAAAAAGACAAATAAAGAACGAAGAATCAAACACAAGAGACTTCTAGAGGTTTTCTTAATCTGTTTACACTGCAAATCAATCTGTAGCACATGTAGCAGACTTTAGGTGAAGATTCATGAAGGAGAGGCACACGATGTGAGGCCGAAAGTTAAATGCTGCCAGAAACTGCACTGCATTGCGGCTGAGGAGAGAGGGAGCAGTACCCACCCACAGCAGCCAGAGCACCCTTTCCTCTCAGAGACAGCGCTCGTGTGTAAATCAGCAGCAGTGCTGCTTGCTTGCACAGAAGAGGCTTGACTTTCCTCTTACCTCTCAGCTGTGCCTCACTGCAAACGTAAAGTTCACATGCTGAAGCATATGTTTTATAATTATACATGATTTTATAGTATATAATCATGTATAATTATAATCCTTCCACCCTTCCCACATATATCTCATTAATTCATAAAGACCATTATTATTAGTAATGCAATAGTTGAGTATCATGAGTTATGATTAATACAGAATAGGCCTTCACTTTTGAAACCATACAAAATTAATGAGCAAACACAAATCCTCCCAGGCATTTTTGGTCATGAATTACAGTAGTTTAATTATAGTATTTAAGCTACTCATAAATTTCCACAATCTTTCACTGAAAAGGTATAGCTACATTATCAGGTTTTACAGACAAGTGCAGCAGCCAATCCATGTCTATTAAAAGCAGCTAACAGTTAATTTAAAGCCACAGAGAATCCTTTTTAATGGATACATTATTGAAATTAAACTATCTTTGGCTGACGCTGGAAGGATTTCTATTCAGGCATGCTTTCAGTGTTCCCTTCAAATGCAATCTCATTGCATCCGAGAGATGGCTTTGTATTAATGGGATCAGCAACCACATTATAAAACACAACAGGTGAAAAGTGTTACTTTATGAAATAATCAGTAGGCTTTTGGAATTAACAGCCAAGACAAGCTATCTGGCTTCATTTGGTTTGAGCTCATTCCCTCATCATTTGTCACAAGAAGAGTTATTTTGCCCTTTGAGAATCAGAATCAGTGGCCTCATCTTCTGCTTCTAATAAGCATAAGATATCCATTCATCCCTGAGGCATTGTCTGGATTAGGTTTCATCCTGGATTTGCACTCCGCTGCGCCAGAAAAGAATACTTCTGTAGCCTGCTGCAAGCTAATCATAAAATGAGCTTGATGGAGTCAGTATCCATCATCCATCAGTATCCTGCATAACAACCTGTTTGTCTTCCATTACTGGATCCAGGATGATAAATGAAAGGTCAAAGGCTAACTATACCAAATATCATATTCCACAGACATAGTTCTCTAGGGAAATGACTCAGCTCGCTGTAGCACTGAACCACAATGGCATAATAATCAGCTATTGCAGACGATGCCTATAAATAGAGCAGCAGAGAGAGGTGAAGGTAGAGAGGTAGGCAGATTGATAAAACAGAAACATTTGAATTGCACAACAAAGCATGGATGCAACAGAGCCTTAACACACTCATTCAAGAAAATAACACTGTAATGTTTTTTTATTTATTTTCAACCTGTTATAAAGACATTTAAAAATTGATACTCTGTGTCAAGAGTACAAAGGTAAACTTGAGGGAGTTACAGTTGTATAGTACAGTGGGGAGATCACATATAGATTTAGCGATGACTGAAGAAGCCCTGAGGATGGTTGTACTTGAATGGCTTCAGACGAGTTGGGCCCCTGAGAAAGAGAGAGATGTCAGAGATACAGTAAATCTATTCAGATATGACAGTGTCTTTGACCAAATGTTGGTAAAGAGTTTAATTGCTTCTTGTGACCATGTACCTGACAGTGCGCAAGCACATCTTCTCTCTGGGAAACTCTCTTGGTCCCTCCACGCTGTCGTCTTGACCTTCAGTCTCCAAATACACGTCGAGGCAGACACACAGGCGAGAAATCTGATTGGTCAGGAGCTGGTGTCCTGGGCGCGGACCCTGTAGCTCATTTTTGAACACATTGATCTCGCTCTCCATGGCCTAAAAAAAAGGAACAAATGAGTCAGTTGGAGGCAGAGCACAAGCTTATGGAACATAAGGGATCAATACTGAAACATGTTCATACTCGAAGGTTGTCATCAGTGCGTCCAGTGCGCTCTCCCTTCCAGCTGAGAGAGAGGGAGAAAAGAGGAGAGACTTCTGGGTAACGGGGACTCAGCACCACAGCGGCCTGGAGACGAGCTGAGGAAGAAAAAGATAGAGGCAGATGGTTTAAAAGAAACAAAAAAAATAAAAAAATAATCAAGTTATCAATATTGGCCAATTCTATCATCAGTATTAGTATTTACCTGTGCCCCTCTCCACCACACCCATAAAATACATATCTGTCTCCTTTGCCAGTCCAGCATCAGTCACATGACGTGTATATGGCAGATCCTACCAAGAAAGGGAAATATCACAGTGAGTCATGTGCTGCACGAGGTGTATTTTTGGATCCAGGTGATCCTGTACATGGGTTTATGTGTGTATACCGTGTACTCCAAGTGAGTGATAGTGGTCCAGCGGGCTAAACGGGAGATGATCTTGGCAGGAAAGAGGTGCTGACACTCACTGGAGACTGGGATGATGCTGTGCTCTGAGGACAGGAACGCACACACAATCTCAGTCACAATGTCCCATATGTTCTTTAGATCTATTTAATGTGTGGTCGTTAACATATAACGTACCTAAAGAGGCAAACTGTTTGTGCAAAGCCAGGCGCGACTGGACTCGCCCCCTCAGCAGCTTGATGGTGCTCTCCATTTGGCTGGCACTCAGAGAACTGCCCACATGCACACCCTGAAAAACAAGAGCATACACCAACATGATACAGCTGTAACACACAGAAACTGGGCTCAAATGGGATAAAACTTGATTTCAACAAGTACCTCTGAGGTGTCTTTGGGAAAATGTAGTCCTCCGAGACTCTGAACCCACATGTAGGGATGGCCCAGCTCCTCCACATAATCAGAAAAGCAAGCAATCCTAAAAAGGAAATGATGGGTTAAATTCTGCTGGAATTTTGTTCAATTCAATGGTGTGATTCACTATACATCTTATGTACTTCAATTATTAGACATCCTCACCCGACTTTATCAAACTGGTAGCGATTAGCTGGATTGGGTGTTTCTCGTCCCTGGTCGCTGGTATAGAGACAGCAGAGAAGAGTGTCTGATTTCAGCAGGTCCCTGCAAAAGACGACATCATTAGACTTTTTTTCACAGACACAGAGAGGGAGACAAATGTCCAAACACACACACACACACACACACACACACACACACACCCTGCGCTGATGGCTGCGTTGAGGTCTGTGGAGGTGGAGACCTTGGTCTTGACAGTCATAATGTTCAGATTCATCAGGTAGCAGAAGTAGAGATGGAGGATGCTGCCATCTGTGGAGACATGATGGATAACACACGGTGATGAACAGATCCATTACTAGCTTAATTCAATACTCTTGTCTACCTCCATCTTTTTATTAATTCTCCCACTGAAACCCCCCCAGGGTTTACTTTACACAGCAGCACATTAGAGAGTAATAAGGGGGTGTGGTCATGACTGTAGCAAGCAGCACCCAGGGGATACATACTATGCTGATGGTATTCTTTCACGCTCAGCTCTGTGCAGTCACAGTGTACTCAGCGACACTTTGTTACTCACGGACACCTACACTGCTCAGTTTTTGCTTTTACTGCAATAAACCAACTGCTGCAGCTGGCAGCAGTAAAGGTAAGCGGTGAGAGGGAAGGCACTAGAAATAAAGGCAGACAAAAGAAAGACTGGTGATGAGAAAATACGCTTACAGCATGTGGTAGGTGCTGCAGATCCAAGCTGCTGCAAGCGTCTCTCTCACCTCCCTCCCTCCCCCCCTTTAGGTAGAGTTACGCCTGCAATGCAGATCTCCCTATAATCTCACTATTCCTTCTATTGCCAGTAGAGGGAACATGAGGGTCAAGTGGTGTCATGACATCATAGCAGAGTGGGTCACACTTACTTTCTTTCATGTACTATCTGGTAGGTATAGTTACCACAATACACTCAACTATGGTCACATTACAGGGAATGTAACACAGATGACAGATAATGTGTCTGCCTCCACAAAATGCATGGACCTTTTTGATGCAGGCACTAAAATTTTAAGTCATGAAGAATTTAGAATGAGTTACCTTTACACTTGAGCTCTAAGCAGAGGGACAGAGGGTGCCTTTTCAGCATCTCCCGTCTTTTGTCGTCCAGCTGGCCACCTGTAGTTGGCCTTCTCCTCTTCTGTCAAACAGACAACAGAAAGCAATAGTAACAGGAGATGACAAGAAAGAAGGCAAAACAGCGTGCATGTTTGACATTGTGCCATCACAAATATATTTGAAAAACCAATTGCAATAAATTCCAGCTGCTTACAGGAGAAACATGAGAGTCACTTAGCATCGTTAGCATTTTAGCCCGCTACTATTACAGATAAAAGGGAGAGAGGCAAAAGTAGTAAAATTGAAAAAAAGAGGATCAGCGGTTATATGCAGACAGTAAAAGGCCACACACAGGTTTTAACAAATGACAAATAATGTATTCCTAAATCAGTCATTTAGAAAATACATCAGAGAAACATCCTGGGAGACTGACAGCAAAAACGAGCACTGGTTTGGTGCTGAGTGTGCACGCCCGAGGTGGGTTCAGGTTACAGTCACCTAGCCATTCTTGGTAAATTTTCCCAGAATCCCCCAGTTGGCACCCGTCCGGATGGAGGAAGCGATCAATAGCTGCCACTTCCCAACCGCCCCGACCAAAATGTATGACAGCTAGGGCTTCAGGAACAGTTTGTGTGTCCATTAGCAGAGACAGGTATATTAAGAAATCGCTGAACTCACTGACCTATGGGTGTTAGCATCTGTGTGTGTGTGTGTGTGTGTTGGGAGTAAAGCCAGTCCTTAGACTCACCGTTTTCTCTTGCTCTTCCTCTGCGTCTGAATCACTCTCATCATCTAGATGAAACCAGAACACATTTTATGTTTATATTAAGC